TCTGAATGTTGGGYTCACCTGCTGGTTTAATGGTATTATCTGAAGTCCAGTCTTTTCAGGGTAGGCAAAGCCATTTCAAGGGGAAGTAAAAATGCACACAGAGTGCCAAGTAATCAGTAATTGTAATTAGGACCCTGGTCCTAAAATGTCTTCAATCTAAGTAGCAATAGTATTAATTCTTCAAATGCTTTGTTATGGATTTTTATCATCTTTCTAAATACAGAAGATGTAATTAGGTAAATATTTAATCTTGGCTTATCAGAGGCATAAATTATGTGTGTTACTAGCACCACCTTTCATGTTCATGTTGTCTAATTTAGTTTTAATTTGAGTATTGGAGTGTTAGAGTTTTATGATGTGGAACATATTTATTTCTTCACAATAATTCTGCTGACTGAACATTGTAAATGAAGTGAATCCTCAGAAGAGATTGTTTTGTTCAATAAGCAMCTTAATTCTTCCTGTTTGTACAAATATTTCATCAAAGCTTTTKAGCCTCATTACTGATTAAACTGTTTAGTCACAGAATGTAAAGTCGAAAGGTTAGACCTAGCCTGAAACAGATTTAATGGAAAAAATTCATCAGCTCTGCTAGGTCATTCATTATTCTCAGCCTGTTTCTTTTTTGCAGGGTTCAATAACTTGGGCCAATTTTTGAAAGGACTTTGTCTTCTRGAGAGGTGTCTTGTGCTTTCCTGTAAAAACCCCAGCCTGGAAATAGTGCTGTAAGCAGAGCTGGAATAGTTTAATATAATAGCAGTATGAAGCTGATAGTCTAATTTCTGACTGTCTCTCCTGTTTCTTCCCATACAACGTTGACATGATCATTTCTTACTTACAGATAAATAAAAATTTTCTCAAACCTTAAGGTTTTTTCTCAAACCTTAAGGTTTGACTCCTTAAGGTTTAAAACTGCTTCTGGCATTATCCAGTGTAAGGTTCTGAATGTCCTGGACATGAGAACCCACAGGAAAAGGGACAATTCTATGCAGGATTTGGGGCTCTTGGGCTGGGTTAAGGATTTGAGCAGGATAAACCCAGGGTTAGGGGYCWMAGARCAGACTGGGAGGKTTCTGTTCATGCTTTTCTTTCARTATTTCATAATCTATGTGTSTYTGCAAGAAGTATGTAAAGGGAAAACAGATTTTCTCCAGGACTGCTGCAGAAAATGAGTTTATTGTCCATTGGACTACCTCTTTTATCTAAATTATCTCGTGTTAGGTGGTTGTTGAGAGATCATTGTGTCTTATTGACAGATTTTAAAATCACATTTCTGCTGAGTACTTGATTACTGACCAGATGCTGTAAATCAGAGCCATTTCCCTTAAGAGAATTTAACAAATTGTGTCCAGTTACTGTATGAATCCCAGTAACTGAGCTTATAGCAAACAAAAAACCCTTGATCATTTGGAGAAGTSCTGGGTAGCACAATGTGAGTGTAATGTAAGCTTTTGGAGAGATGCTTTCATTCATTCACAGGTATTTTACCAAGTTTTATGAGAATTTATGAAGACTCTAAAATAAATTATTTTCTAACTCTTAAAATAAAATTGGATTTTGAGAGTGATCTGGCTTGGTTTTAGCACCATGAGACTTAATGTAGCAAGAACTTGTAAAGAAACATTTTACTATTATTAAAATCTTTTCTTTTCACCCAGATTTAACGTGATTTTGTTGTTTCCCTGAAATGCTGAGGTTGTATTAATGAAGATCTGATGTGTTTTTAATGATGGTTTGAAAACCAGAGAGCCTGTCCAGTGGCCTTCTCCTGATGGGATTGATTTTTATTATTAATATTTTATAAGGAACTATGTCTTCTGATGGAGATTTCCAGAAAAATTTTACATTTTCAAACCCTGCACCATTATGGTGTRTCTCAGTATACAGATACTGCAGTAAAAGCCTCACATATATTTTCTGGGAGCTTGATTTTTCTTGTTCTAAGTGTTGGTTTCTATCCCAACTGTAATGATGATATCTGAGTGATGAAACATTTCTGAATCAAAAACTTTTAACCCAAAGAGTGGAAAAACCAAGCAGTTGTGGGTTGATTCCTAAACTACAGCATCATATTTTAGCAGTATTGTGTTCAGAGGACCAGACTGAGCAGCAATCAGATCCCTCAGAAAAACAAGATGAGAATTTTACAGATGAGAAGATTGGCCTTTTCAAGATGTATTTCTTCAAGAGTTTACACAGCTGCAGATAAATCATGGACAGGAGAGGAGATAAATACATGGCTTATTACTCAGTTTGGGACCTTGGGGMATAGAAAAAAAAAATATTTCATTTACTTATACTGCCAAAAAGCTTCCTCTTCGTCAGGGGCAGTTTGGAAGGTAAGTTAGAGATGAACTTGGCCAACTCTCCTGTAAATGGCTYGAAGAAAAAAAAAAAGCATAAAAAAAAGGGTTAAATAATGCATAGTGTTTGGAAGAAAACACACCAGAGCATATCTGACATTGAAATTACTGTAATCCTGCATGCTTTATTGACTACTGGCAAAATAATGAAAAAGAATCCRAATAGTAGAGTTTTATTATAAATAYGTTCACAACCAGAAATGCTGCTTTGCATTTGCAGCAAAAGTGTTGGTTGCATTCATGATCCTTTCATCTGGCTCAGGTCTAGAGTGAAAATAGCAGTGTGGGCTAGAAATAAACCCATCTCTAAAAACCAAATTGTTTTTTTGAGAGAGCTTTATATGAAATAAAAACCCCTCTGTCTTTGGGGCACCACCACCAAGATCCTTTGCCAGATCTCATCAGTAGCTTTGAACTTCTGAAATATCTTCATTTTTTTTTTTCTCAGTGACACATAARCCTTCCTCTTGCAAGTGAAATAAATGAGAAAATTAAAGAGAAACTGCCTAAAGAGATTTACTTACTGTGTGAAAATGCACTGTGGTGATTGGATGGAGAGGRAAAAAAAAAGCAAACCTGTTCAGGATTAATGAATGTGTGATATAAACAGCAGCTTCATGGAAACAAATTTAAAAAAAAAAATGGAAGAAAATATTTGCATGAGTTAATAAAGTAAAGAAGTAGGAGTAATATTTGTGTTTCCTGAGAATATAAAAAAAAAAACTGACTTAAATTAAGATATGTGATGTCTTGTGCTGTTCAGTCAGGATTATTAGCTAGCACTAAGCTCTGCAATCAGYTGAAGCACAAGCTTTTCATCTCTGGCTGCTCGAATTATTCTTAACTTTTTCCAACATCCAAATTGGGTCATAAATGTTAAGACAATTTCAGATGAGCAGCATCCAATAGGGATGGAGTGCATTTTAAAACACAGCATGTGATGGAGCAGTGGGGTGCAGTGATTGTTGGGCTGTAAAAGTGGATGGAGCCAAATGGGAAATCTGCACCCACCAGGAATGAGGAGCACCCTGCACAGTCCTGTGGGTGCCAGGCATGGTTGATAATTGTCTTGGTCCTTCATGGAGCCCTTGGCAGCCCTGCATCTGCTCTGAGAGTGTTTTCAAAACATCAGCTGGTCAAGAACCTTAACAAAGTCTATCAGAGTATAAAATACCTCCTGAATAACTGCCAGAAAATGTCCCCTTTAACAGAGGCCACCCTGCTAAAGAGAAGGGAGAATGGAGAAGAAAAGCACAGAGAAGGCATGAGAAAAAAAAAGAAAATTAAAAAAAAAATTTAAAAAAAAAGAAAAAGGAAGATTGTTTAGTGCCTGCATTACATCAGGGGAAGATACTGAGATTAGAGGGGAGAGAAAACCAAATGCACCCAAACACATGATGGAAGAAAGCAGGCTGTTYAGCTCATGTAGCACATACTCAGGAGACCAGGTGGACTAAATAAGCTAAATAAAGAGTCTAGAACAAGAAAATAACTAAAAAAACACCCCCAAAGCATAAAATTAATCATCTGATTTAATGCTAGTCTGTTTTCTCTCAAATATCATCCAGTGTTTATATGTTGTACTTTACAGAAAACTATCAACAAGCACAGTCATTGTGAACAATGTTTTTAGGACTGGTATTAAGTACACCTCACTAAGTTAACCTGCATTATTCTGCCATCCATTTAGCAGCTAAAACAAATGATTTTATGGAAATCAGGAAAGGTTGGGCAGCCTCTTGTTGAGCCAACTGCAAAAATTGGCTGAAGTGGTTTTCAGAGTGAGCAGAACAATGAGTGACTTTCCTGTGATTGTGTTTTGGAAAACAGCTGAGCTGTTTCAGCTTCAGCTTTCAGGAAAAAAAGAATGTGGAAAATCTCAAYAGGAAGTGTTCTCTGTAGCAAACTCACACACACCAAAAAAAAAAAGTGAATATGGAGCACTGAGGATTTAAGGAACAATTTCAACCTTCTCTAAAACGTTGTAGCTTTTGTAACCAAAATAACTGGACTATTTTTTTTTTATCATTTAGACTCATCGATGTTACTTATTTGCTTATTAATAATTGTTTTGCTATGAAAATATTGTTTTGCTACAAAAAACATGCTACACACTATGCATTGTTCTACTCAGAAATGCTGCAGAAACAGAACTTGATGCCTGCTATTAATCAGGTGTATAATGCCTTCTTAATTGGAGTGTGGTGGAATTTAATAATTCTAATGTGTCAAGCTTTTTTTGAAAGTATGGGAAATAAGGGAGTTTTTAATCTCCTGGACATATGATGTTTAATTAAGTTACTGTGTTTGTGCAGAATGAAGTCAGAGAGGCACAGGGTCATGCATTCTCAACATGCTGATTTGTTTAATAGATCAAATGGCAAAGTGGCACTTGGCTTTAGACACAGACAAGGTCTTGAGCTCTTTCAAAATGTTTATTGTTCTTTCCTTGCTGCTCTGTATGATAATGAAATGCAGGGGAGATACTGAAGTTTTTATCTGAGAGATTCCCCTGTTAACCTGGCACTCCAGCAAATTGTCATATTYTAGCAAACATTATGCAAAAGAGCACTTCAGCTCTCAAAGCTGTTCAAAGCATGAGCATTTTGGTTTTTATTTTGTTTTATTGTTTTGTAGGATTGCATTGATGTGGGTTGGTGGGAAGGAGAACTCAATGGCAGACGAGGTGTGTTTCCAGATAACTTTGTCAAGCTGCTTCCTTCAGATTTTGAAAAAGAGGTAAGTAATATATATTTYCATTTTCATTTAAAAATACAGAATGATAGTTGATTTGAAAGAAGGTGATCTTGACAAAATTTTACTTCTAACATACAAACATAAAGGAAAAAAAAAGTTCTGGGTTAGAAAGCATCCATGAAAACAATGCAAGACACTCAAAGTCATATTATGGAGTTTCCTTGGAGGGTTTGATTTGCCCATCCAGTCTCACCACCTCTCAGAATGTCTAAAAAAAGAAGGTATAAAACCTATGCAGAAGTTTTTTTCAGCACCTTATTTTTATTATTTTCTTTTTTTTTTAAAAGATGGCATTGTTATTTGCTGGACGATATTTAGAAATCTTATGTTTTTCTGGAATAAAGTCATGGATTGCTTCTCCCCAAAGTCTGTTCCATTTTAGGAATCTTTTGAGTCATCAGTGGGATATTCCAAGCTTGCAATCAGGCTTTTGATGAGTATTTCACAGTGACAGTTTRAGCCTTCTGTGATAAAACCAAAACTTACTGACACCCAGCTTCACTCCTTGGCAATAAAATTGTATGCCGAAGGCAAAAATTAAATAACTTGGAAAGCTTAATAAAGCTGCTATTAAACAATTCACAGAGGCTAACATGATAATTATTGAAAAGGAAAGTAGAAGAGCAGCAAAAACTGTKGCAGATGAAAAGGCAATTCCACAGCAGAGTGAATATCCTGGCTTTAGGCCTGATAATAAAAGAAGGTGATTTCTACAAGAGGCAGAAATCAAAAACCTCAARACAGAGTGAGCCTGTTATAGAAAAAAAAACAACCTTTACTGGTATCAATTTTTTGTGATTATTCAATCTTTTTGAGCTTTGCAATTATGTATCTTTAGAGTGTTTTTTAGAGCACAATTGAATATAACTTGTAGAGTAAATTAGATATTCAGACACTTGAAAATTGCAGCTGGGTTTGCTCTAACTGTGGAGAATAAAATTTTATTAATTTTTTGGAATGCCACAGATCTGGCCACTTGAGTAAGTAACTGGTAGGACTATAGACCATCTGTCTTTGCTTTAATCAGTGCTAAAAGGGAAGGAGATAAATATTTTCCCAATGATTTCATCAGGTATTTTCTGATGTGATCCAGAAACCTTGGATTCCATCCCATGATCTGAAAGTATTGTTCAACAAAAGTTTGGGATCTCTTCCCATCTCCTTGTTCAGTGCCCAGTTTTCCAAGGCTGACTCTTTTCCAAAAATGCCTATTTGTTCCAGGCTTTTTCTGTTCCCTGCCCAGTGAATCTCCACCTCTCAGGTGCTCTCCATTACAGAATTTCCCCTGAGCTCACCACCTGAGTCCAAATCACCATCTGGATTTACTTGCTGTCCCTACACCAAATTACTTGGTGCAGCTTTTTTTTTTTTCCTTTTCCCTCTTACTCTTTGTCCCTGTGCTGTAGTTCTGTTCTCTTCTTGTCCAAACAGTCCTGGTTTCCTTTCTGTTGGAAATTTCTGATCTGTCT